AAGCCTCCCCAGCTGACAAGCCGGGGGGCAACAGCTCACCAGCCGCAGCTCCAGACAGCCGCCCACCACCCCCCCGGTGGCGGCGCGGCCGCCAGCTCCAGCCGGCCAACTCCAGACAGCCAGCTCTGACCCCAGGCAGCCAGCTCCAGACAGCCGCTCGCCAGCTCCCGCGACTGGGCTGCAAAACGGGTCTTCGACGAACTGGTCGACCCCTTCGATGGTGGGCGCATGTGCAAAGAGCTGTTGGGCAGAGTCGACCTTGACAGGGCCGGGAAGGCACCTGCAGTCAAGATCTTGCGCCTCTAAAAGACCCTGAGAGGACTGTTCAGCAGCATCTGGCACGTCTACACCCGCAAGCACCCGGCGGCCCGAAGAGCGACCCCGCTCGGAACCCTGAAGTCACCTGCCGCAGCTTCCTCGACGCCTGGAAACGCTCTGCGTACGATGCCTACGAGATGGACCGCCAGCATGAGCCCCAGGTCAGATGGGACCGCGAGCGCAGCAAGTGGTCAGGGAACCATGGCAAAAGCGCCCCTCAGCACAAGGGGCACGCGGCAAGCTCCCGGCAACCCTGGGTCTGGGACACCTGGTCCTGGTCGCAAGCCTGGGACGGCGATGACTGGCAGGCCGGAGGCAAGCGAGGTGGCGACGACAGCAGCGACGGGGGAGGGGACAAGCACTCCCGCACGTGGCGTTGACGCAACGGCCTCAGCACGCCGAAGGCCCCCACCGCGCCGCGCCGGGCCCGCGCGCGTTCTGCCCGCGCTGCCCAGCCGTCCCACGGGTCACGCTGGACGCAATCCGCTTGCGACCCCCGCCGCCCCCTGCTGCGGCGGCCGGCGCCGCCCCCCGGAGGGCGCGGTGGCCGGCGGCGCCGCGGCCGCCCACGCGGCCGCCGGCGCCGCGGCCGCCGCCGCTGCCGCCGCCGCCGCCGCCACCGCCGCGGCCGCCGCCGCTGGCCCCCCTCCGGCGGCGGCGGCGACGGGCGGCGCCGTGGGCGGCGTCGCGGCTGCCTTCGCGGCGGCCGCTGCCGCTTCCGCTGCCGTCGCCGCTGCCGGTTCCCCGCTGGCGGCGGCGGCGGCGGAGGGCGCGCCGTGGCCGGCTCCGCCGCGGCCGCCCCCGCGGCCGCCGGCGGTGCGGCTGCCGCCGCTGCTGCGGCCGCTGCCGCCGCCGCCGCCGGCTGCTGCCGCCGCTGCCGGCTCTCCTCCTCCGGCGGCGGCGGCGGCCATCGGCCCCGTGGTCAGCGCGGCGGCCGTTGTCGCTGCGGCCGCTGCTGCCGCCGCCGCCGCCGCCGCTGCCGGCTCCTCGCCGGCGGCGGCGGCGGCGGTTGCCCTTCTGGCGCCCCAGCGCAGACGACCCACTGGGCACCCCTGGTAGCCAACAGACTGCGCAGAAGAACAGTGACCGCACGGCAGGAAGTCGCCAGGGCGACGGTTCCACCGTTACCTGTGCAGCTCACAGCGACGACAGATCGCAGGGCGCGCCCCCTCTCCCCCGCAGACTGCCCAGGCACGCGCGCCCCCGACGCGCGGGCCCCGATGCCCGCCAGGCACCCCTGGGGGACAGCAGACCTCTCCAAGTGGTGCAGGAGCCGTCAGGCCAGCAGGGTTCGCCGAGAGAAGCACGTGGTTCGACATTATCGGTCTTCCCAACTGAAACAGGGCCCGTTAGGCCAATGGAAGTTGCGCCGCCTCGTGCACCCTTCCCCTTCCCCGGCCGCCTCCCGGAGCGCGTTTCGTAGCAGCGCCCGACCGCAGCGCCTGACCACAGCAGATTGTTCAGCGATGTCTAGTGGTCTCGCGATGGTCTGGCCCGCGCGGCCAGGAAGGCGTTGACCTCCCCAGGTTTCTCGCATCGTGGCATCAGTTAGCGAGCAGAGGCCGTTAGCCACCCCTGGCATGGTCCACAGGCATCACGGCTTGATGGCGGCCTGGGGCGAGGGCCCTCGCCGAAGGCCCCCGCTTGTTTCACGCTAGGCGCAATGCGCCGCGCATCTCGCGGTGGTCGTTGCCGGACTTGCAGGCAGCGACGCTGCCTTGGTGCCACTCCTGGCCCAGCCCCCGCTGCTCCCCGCCCTTGGGACACGGGCAGCGGCCTGCTGACAATACTGGCTCGTGGACTGCCGCTGGGGCCGTGGTCCACCTGTCCCCCGACGGCTTTCGGCCTGCTGTAGTTGTTTCCACTCTTGGTGCGTCACTCCCCCGCGCCCCCGGGCGCCCTCCCGTGCCGGGGTGGCCCCCTCGCGGCTGGGCTCCCGGTTCCCTCGCCACCCTCTCGGGGGCCCTGGTGTGCGACTTCGCTGGCGCCACCACTCGCACCCGCCAGGCCTTGGCATGCTTCTTGGGTCCCTCTGAGTTGCCCACCCTGGCCACATCGTGGTGCCCCTGCGCGCCATTTTGGCCGCGCCGCAGCTTCTGCTGCTCAATTTACTCGCATTCAATTCGGTTCGTGGCTGTCGGTCCACCTGGCTTCGGCCACCCTGGTACTCTGCAGCTCGTTGATGCTCACGCCTCTGCATAGGGCACACAATCCGTCTCGTGGCAGCCGGTTCACTTGGCTCCGGCCACCCTGGTGTTCTTGCAGTTCCGTGGGTGCCTACGCCCCTGCATGCCATTCACTCGCAGCTTGCAGACCCTGGCAGCCGACCACCCTGGCAGTGCAGTTTCCCAGCAGTTGCAGCCAGCCCCCCTCCACTCGCCGGCCTGCCCGCCGAGGTGCTGCGTGAGGCTCCGGCCCACCGCTTTAGGTTAATTCGTCTTTGTGCGGCCCGCTCTGACTGGACTCGCCGCTGGCGCTCTCGCCTGCGGCCGCTGACTAAAAAGTACCCCCACCAGCCCATCCAGAAACGATGTCCAGACTAATTGCGCTGATCGGGGAAGTCTGGGGCATGTAGTGGGACAAAGAAGTGGGGCAGCCGTCAAACCGAATATCGGGATCAGTCTGAGCAGGCCCAGGAGTCCATCATTAATGCCTTCGTGGGCCTGTCGATGTATGAGCCTCATGGCAGCTTATCTGGGGCCTTCCGGGGGTCCTCTCGGGCCCATTTTGAATGCTTGTGGGGCTCTCTTGGAGCTTTCTTGGTGGCGTTGTGGGCCACCTTCGAGGCCACCGATTAAAGAAGGGGGCGCTCAAATTCGGAGTCCCCGTCGGAGGCAGAATAGCACACCTCCCGGAGCTGTGTTGGGGCGCTTTGGGGGCAGTCTTGGGGCGCTGTTCGGCCCCTCATGGGCTCTCTTGGACGATGTTGAAGCCATCTTGGCTGGGGAAGCTCCGCGGCCATTTAGGACCGTATTAGGACGATCTTGATGCCTCTGGGAGACATGTCAGGGGTTACCTTGAGCCTTGGCTGGGCGTCTTGAATCATCGCGGAGGCCATCTTAGATTTTCTGGGGTCATTATGGAACGATCTTGGGCCATCTTGGACCCTCCAACGACCCCCGCCCCCCCTTCCCCCGTCGAGACCCAAGGCGAGAGGATAGGGGGAGAGGTACATGTCTCTCCGATGGGTAAGAAGGAGGTCGGAACAATATGCACCAAGGCAAATCAACGCTGATTCCGAGATGAGTGAGAAAATCTTTGAAGTGGAGGGGGATAGGGAAACCCAGGAGGTGTGACAAATACATACGGCAATCATATAGTTTGTGTAGATTTGTGTGTGTGTCCCCTGGCCACTTTGAAGAAGGAGGTTTGAATAATCAGCTCGCAGCCTCTGCCTGGCGCTCCCCGCTCTGGGCCCCCTCCCCTCTGCGTCGCCGCGCCCTTCGTCGCAGCCTTGCTGCCGCTGCCCGATCGTGTATCCCCGAGTTGAGTCCCGGATGTTTTTCGGCAGCGAGCGAGGGTGGGGAAGTAAGAAGGCCTTCTCCTTCTCACTTCCCCCCCTCGCTCGCCATCGATGTTTGTCCAGATGATCTGGCGCACCCGTGTTTCGCAGGCGACGTCTGGCCCCCAACCAACCCCCCATTTTTCACGGAAAGTCAAGCTGCTCAGAAAAGGAGGGAATCTCGGGGATACACGCCCAAACCCCGATCGAGATTGTACGCCCCCCTATCGTATATACCCGACCCCGAGGTGTGCCCCATATTGTCTGTCCATCCGAAGACCCCGCGAGGTCGGGGATAGGGGTCGACATATCCGCTATTAGTGGTCTGGCCTGCTGCTGCGCCTCCCCCGCCTTTTCCCTCCTCGCTCTTCGCCTCTCTGCTCCGCCGCGCGGAAGTGCGAGGAGGAGGAGGAGGAGGAGGAGGAGGATTGGAGGAGACGGATGCTGCTGCTGCTGCTGTTGCTGCTGCTGCTGCTGCTGCTGCTGCTGCTGACTGCTGCAGTCACGACGGAGGGCCTTTCGCTGAGTGCGGCCTCTGGGGGCCCGTGCCGGGCCGTGGGAGAGCCCCACGCAAACCTGCGCGGGATGGGAAGTGGGTTCCCGGGGAGTGGGCCGAGACCTCTGGGGGTCGAGGCCATGAAGAAGTCATGACGTCGGGGGTCTGGGGCCAGCAAGCGATGCGGGGAGCTGTGCCCCCTTGGGGCACCCACCGCACGGCTCCGTCCGCTTCGTGCAGCCCACAGCCCTGTCCTGGTGCTCCCTGTCCTGGTGCTGGGTCGAGACCGTTGGAGTCGAGTGAAAGAGTCCTGACGCCCGGGACTTTGGGGGGATCTCGACGCTGATTAAGCAGTGAGCCTGTCAGCAGAGGCCGGCACGCAACTCGCAGATTTTGAGTAAGGTATCAAGTTTGCGGCACCCATGTTAAGTAAAGCACGCAAGCAGTACCAGCTGGGCAGTAAAGTTCGGATGGGGCTAGGACGAGGATAAATCCGTTCCTGAGCGTTTCTGAACGCTCTGAAAAGGTCGCGGCGCCCGAGATCTGCTCCCGAGCCGCCGGATCTCAGAGATCTTCGAATTATACTCACCCGAATTTATCCTCGTCCTGGCTTCGTCTTCACCAGCTGGGCAGTAAAGAGTTGGGGGAGGAGGCCGAACGGGCTCGCGCGCGCAGTGGCCAAACAGCCGCTCGCCTGGCCCGAGCGCCTTGGGGGGCCGCGGGTCCTGTCGGCCGAGCGCATGGCCATACCAGGCGGGGTCGCGCAGCTGTCCCCGGGGAATGCCAATCGCAGGTCGGAGCCTTCCAAACCCATGGGCAACGACAGGGGGGGAAATACGGCAGAGGGGGGAGGCATCTTTCCCAATCGCCCATTGATCGCCGATAGGGGCCCGATAGCTCCAACCTGCCCAGGAAGGTGCAGATTCCCGCCCCCCCTCCTGTGCCAGTCGCCCCCATCGTTGCCCCTCATCCAAGCGAGTCGGCTAGCCTTCGAGGATCTGTGGAGCTGCCATCTTCCTTCATCGGCGGGAGGCGGCGGAAGGCGGTGGAAGTGGAGCGAGGGCGGCTCCGCCAGCGGAAGGCTGGCGGAAGGGCGGCGGAAGCCGTGGGAAGCAAAAGGTGCGCCCCCAAGAGATGGCAACGCTTTTGGGCCCAGGGTTTCCGGAATCGGCCACGTAAGGGTGGTCCTTTGCTGGAGTGGCCGTTTGGTGCGTGGCTTTCCGGGGGGGCGGGGGGCCAAGCCCCGGCGCGCAGGCGCCTGCAGCCGCATCACATGCAACGATCGGCAAGCCACCCACCCGATGTCTCGCTTGTCTGGGGTCACCCTTGCGTGCAGCCGAGTCCAAAACAGGCTGGGGCGGGTCGCTCCCAGACTTCGAGGCAGACCTTCAAGCAGTGGCGAAGGGTCCTGGCGTGCCTGCAGGCCCACCAGAGAATGTTCCAAGACCATATTGTGGCTTGCGCGAGATATTCTCAGAACATATCTGGCTGAGACCGTCTTGTTCTTAGACGTAGGCTTCATGCTCTAAGAACATTGCCTTGGTTATGCGAACACTGTTTTGCTCTACAGTCTACCCGCATGGTAAGGATGAGCGACTTTCCAAGGTTACCCTTGCATCCTTTCCCTTCGGCCCATCCTTGGCCGCTTTTGCTGGCCTGAGCCCGCTGGCCAAGTGCCAACATGGCGTTCCAAGGACCGTGCATCCTCGTAGCGCGTCCTAATTATGTGTGTTGGCTGTAAGAAAATTTCGTGGTAGGCCTATCGGGATGCCAGGACAGTCGGTCCCTGCTGAAGACCAGTCTTTTCAGTCTGGGCGCTTTCCTCCCTTTCGCCCTCTCTTTGCGGCCTCTCGGGGGGGCCCTCGTCACCCCGGCGGGGCTCCTCTCGGAGCTCTCTGGCCCTGTGGAAGCCACGCGGGCGCCCCTTCCTGCCCAGAGTTCGGGAGGACCGGCCCGTCCCCTGCCTGTCCCCTCCCTCCGCTTCTCCTCGGCCTCGACCTCTGTGGGCACGCTGTCCGGCCCTGCTTACCAAGCCCCCCCCCCCCCACCCACCCAACCCGACGGCCCTGGACCGCTCCAGATTTCGGGTCGGAGGGCATGCGAGTTCCATCGTGTTTCTTCAAGGCTCTGGAGTGCCCCCCCCCCTCCCCCACACCCAAAATCGACGGGCCCAACCGTGTCCGTCCCCGGGCCCATCGGAAGTGGATGCAGGGCGAAAAGTTGCCCCCCGGGTGAGGGGTCGAGACCTCTGGGGCCCGCGGATGGAGAAACACGATCCATCGGAAGTCTGGGCACGGGGCTCCCAGATCGCACCGCATCGCTGGCCCATCGCCGCGATGCATCGGCCCGTTGACTCCAGCCATCTTTGGGAGGCCTCCGGCAGGTCATCCCAGAAGCTCACGGTCATCCCAGAGGGAGAGCGGGAAGTGAAGTACCGATTCGACTTCGTCATCTGCGGCAAGGGTGCTGGCAACTTCGTCTCGAGCGTGATCTCGTCCGAGCTCGCCCAGGAGTTTCTGAGCAAGGTCCGGCAGGACGAGAAGCGCAGCTCCTCGCTGGAGACCCTGGCGGAAGACGAGGAGGAGCAGCCGGTGCAGGCGAGCACCGGGCCCGTGTCGCGCCCTCCGCCCCGTGCTCCGCCTCCTTTGCCCTCTCTCTCCGAGCGCGTTGCCCTGCTCGCAAGGTGCCTGCTCGCAAGCGTCCAAAATAATCATGTTTGCCTCGATGTGATGGTTCGTGCATCCCCCGCAGCGGATCCAGGTCACTTGCGAGTAGTTAGCTGGCGAGTAGTGGAGCGCGCCTGTCTACTTAGCTGTTTCTCCTTCCTCTCCTCGAGTGCAGGATGGTGATTCAGACCTGCCCTCGGGGGCCCGTTTCGCAGCATCGCCCTGAACGGTGATTTATCCATTGGCTTCCAGGCCTGCTTGTGAGCATCGTCGTCGCAGTTGAGTTTCGTTCCTAGCGGCATGAGTTTTGTTTGAGTCGTTTCCCCTTATGTTCTTCCTTAAGCGTCATCGTGCCTTATGCTCGCTCCTCCGTGTCCACAGACGGGTTTTCGTGGGAACTCTTCGGTTCACTGATGATATGTTTCATCCTGCCGGAAGATTCGAAGATTGCGTGCCCTGCACAATGGCAGGAGGAAACAGGGGGGTGGTCAATGCGTGGCGGGGTTGGTGCCCAGTCAGAGGTTCGCTCCCTCCCTTCCTTCCTCCGCTGGGGATTTCAGTCGGAGTCGTAGGAGACGCGGCGCGCAGATACCTTATCATAATTTGCACTGCATTGACACCTGTGCAATCATCCCCTCCCCTTCCATCCCCTGCCCCTGTCCCTGACGCCTCCTATTACTGAGGAGTAGAGGTGGGCGCTAGGCCTGGAGGCGGTGCCCGATCGCCGATTCGGAGGCCGGAGAATACAAACCTCCCACCGTGCTCTTTCTGTTTTCTTCACGACGCGAGGGGGTCTCGGAATTTATCCTCGTACCCCCAACCATTCCCCTACAGTCAGCACTTCGAGATAGTGCCCACTTTGGTTCCAGGGGGCTCGATTTTCCTGAGGTCCTTCCGTGGGTCTTCCCCTGTCGATCCTCCTTGGTCTCGGCGCAACCGAGACTCCGATGTGGGGCCTCGCACCTGCCCCAGGGTGCCTTATCGCAGCACTCTGGACGTGTCCCCCTGCCCACCAGGCCTCCCCCCCTCCCGGGGGAAGATAGGAGTGCTGATCGGGAGGTGGGGAGGCTACGAGTACCACTTTATGTCGGGATGTCAGCGGCTATGTGCCATGTGTGCTCAATGCCTCCACCCGCCCCCGTGCGGCTCAGGTGCGCTCTACGTCAGATGCGAAGAAGTCGACCGCCTCGTCGCTGGGGGCCGACGAGCGCATTATGTTCCTCCCAGTCGGAGAGAATGCATCGCAGATTGCCCGGCTTCGGTTCCATTCCCTTGAGAAGTTCACCGACTCGCTGCAACAGCCGAAGGATAGACCTCAGGCTCTCTTCACCGTGGTGGGGCTCCTGTGCACAAAGCCGGCCGGGAACCCCGAGGACGCCCCGATAGAATGTGGGGGTCTCTGCGTTCTGCCGGCTTTGCGGCCGAATCGAAAGGCCCGGGCCTTGGCCTGGGGGATCCAGCCTGCGTTGCGCTGGAGGTGTTGCGCGCATGCGACCTATCCTTCCTCGTACGCTCTGGGACTTTTGGATCGCGTATCGCTCCGCCGTTTCTGGCCCACCACGCCTCGGCGCGACACGTTGTCCGCGTCCCAGTCCCCAGCCGTCAAGTCCCGAGCCTTCCTGAGCCTCCTGCCCCGCAGAGAGAAGCGACACGCTATCCGCTAGCAGAGCACAGCGTGCCGCCGGGGGCCGCCGCCGCGACACGCTGCGCAAAAGTGCCTGGCCGCACCTCGATGATGATGACGATGATGCCGATGATAATGACGGTGATGATGAAGATGCTGCTGATGATGACGGTGATAACGATGATTCATGATACTGATGTTGCTGATGGTGGTGGTGATGATGCTGATGATGGTGATGATGCTGAGTATGATTATGCTGATCACGGTGATGCCAACGATGATGATGAATGTGATGATGATGGTGATGCTGATGTTGATGCTGATGCTGGTGCTGCTGATGATGATGACGATGATGAGGTTCATGATGCTGGCGGTGATGATGATGTTGATGATGATGGTGGTGGTGGCGATGGTAATGGTAATTGTGATGGTGATGATGATGATGCTGCTGACGTTGATGATAGATCATGGTAGGTGATGGGGATGATGATGCTGATGATGCTGCTAATGATGATGATGATGATGATGATGATGATGATGATGAGTATGATGGTGATGAGTATGATGCTGATGTTGATGCTGATGCTGCTGAGGCTGATGCCTGCTGATGATGGTGGTGATGATGATAATGGTAATGCTGATGATGCCGCTGATGCTGATGCTGATGCTGCTGATGCTGATTATGATGCTGATGACGATGATGGTGATCGTCATCATCATCATCAGCGTCAACGCCACCATCATCATCATCATCATCATCATCATCATCATCATCACCATCATCGTTCAATCCGTAGCCATTTTGGCTCAAGCCATTTTGGCTCAAGTAAACCATTTCCTCGAGGTGGTTCAGAGACCAAGCAGCCGAGCCCGTCTCCGACTCGGCCCGCGTTTCAGGGGTCTGATTCGGGCTCCTTATCTACCAGTGAGCTCCTGCTGGAGCCAGCGCTACAGAACATATCGCCATTACACCTTTCGATTCCCGACTCTCGATTGGAACCATGGGCTCGCCTGCCGCGAGCGGTGATGCTCTAGCTCAGATCATGGCCCGTTTCAATGCCGTGGATCAGGGACTCGCAGATTGCAAGAAGCTTGGCGAAAGAGTCCAAGCCAACGAGGCCAAGATGGCCCTATTCGAGGAGAGCACCAACAGAAGCTTCGCCGAGCTCCGCTCCAAGCTAGACGCCATGAACTCTGGCATCCCCACGGACAAGGCCGACGTCCTCATCAAGCTGCAGGAGCAGGTCACCACGCTGAGCTCGCAGGTCTCGACAATTTCGCGGCCTCCATCGCTTACTTCTACAGCTTCGTCTGGATCCCAAGTGCGACGTCCTCGCGCTGCCGCAGCTGGACCATATGACGAAAGCAACCCGTGCCGCCTCTGGATCAGAGGCTTCCCGCGCAAGCTGATGCAGACGCAGTTTGAGGCGCGCTACTCGGTCCTCAGGACCAATCTTCCATCTGAGCTGGCATCCAAGGTGACGCCGAAATACCAGAATTTCAAGTACTCGTACGCAATCGACTTCGAGAGCAAGGCCCAAGCCGACAGCTGCTGGGGCCACTTCAAGGGCATCACGATGAGGTGGATCGACCCGCGCACCTCGCTGACCCACGACCTTCGGCTTGGCAAGGACCAGCCATTGCCCGTGCGGCACAAGGCCTACGCGCTGGGACTCGCCTACAACATCATCCAGACTGAGATGAGGAGCAAGGAGTTGTGGAACGCAGCCTCCATGAAACTCGGCACCAACCCGTTCCAGGGCATCCTCTACTTGATGGAGAACGGCGACCCATTCGAGATGGTCAAACTGAAGGAGGTGATCGGCAACGGCGACGGACGCTTCGAGATCGACGTCGACGCTGAGAGCTTCAAGCACTTCCGTCTGGAGGAATCGTTCACGAACGGGCTCTCGGACCGTGTCCAGGCGCTGCTGGCTGAGTAGGAAATTCCTGAGCAGATATCCTGTGCCACTCTCGCACCGCCCCTCTCGCGTCGCCGTCTGGAGGACGGCTCTTGTTCGCCGAGCTTTGCAGATCGCGTGCGCGGCGAAGCCTCGCAGGCTATGGGTGCCCACGCACAAGATCCGCTGGATGGCAGATCTCCTCCTCCCGCGCCTCCTCCTCCGTCTGGTGCTGAAGAGAGTGCAGCTTTCATAATTCGCAACAAGTTAAGTATCGTTTCATATAATTCGGCCACTCTGTTTGGTAGCGTGCGCGGCTCACATGCACGGCAAAGCAAGAAACTAGCAACGATAACACAGCTTATCAACAAGTATGACATTGTCCTGTGTCAGGAAACTCACGGTTCTGAAGGCGACTTAAGCTCTCTAGAGCGCGACTTCCCCTCCCACGTCCACTTCGGCTCCTTCTGCTCTATCTCGTCTAGTGGTGGCTGCACTATTTCAATACGTAAGTCTGTGATGAACTGGTTTGAAGGCCAGCCTGAGATCACCCATATCAGTGGAGGGCGATGCTTCTCCGCGCGGGTGACGGGTGCGAAAGGCACGATGTTGATCATGAACATACACATCGAACCCCTCCTCCCTCATCAAGCAAAATATGATCTCATGTCGCGTGCAGCTCGAAGTATACCTAGCAGCAACACGTGCCTCTCTTTCTTGGCTGGGGATTTCAACTTTGTTGAGGAGGATGATGTGCGCATCCCCCTCGACGGCAGCGAGCCCACGGTAGGGAGCACCACTCTGGCCAGGCACTTCGGCGCCGTCTTCCCGTCCTTCTGCGAGATTGCGCAGACGGACTGCACCCGCAGGACTCAAGTGCGCAACGTGGTCACCTCGGTCGCTCGGCTCGACAGGATCTACACGGATGCCCCCGCCGGTGAAATATTAGACTGGCACCCCAAATCTGGAACAATTGGTCTCGCACACAACATCGATGAGGTGTCCGATCACATTCCTGTGTTTCTGCTGCTGTCTCCTGGGTCCTCGAAGAGCCAGAGCATCCCTAGGTGGGTCTCTGAGCATCCCGAGTTTGGTCAGGTGATTGAATCCCTCATCGAAGAAGTAGGCCTCGACGGCTCCCCCTTCCAGCAGCTGCGCCTGCTGAAGGACATTTTTTTCGCCGCTAGGGAGGAGCTGACACATCGGATGTTCAAGGGCGGGGTCCTGACCGACAAGCAAAAGATCGCTGTGTGTTTAAAAGCCATGCGGGCCCTTCGGGCTCACTCTCCTGGTTCGTCCTGGAGCCAATCCTCTTCCTGGGTCAAAAAGTGTATGAAAGCTTATCCCGAGTTGGCTAGGTTTATTGATTCTGACAGCTGCAGTTATTACGATTATAACGCGTTCCATGGTCATTTGAATGAGCTCAGCAGCGCGGTCATCCTGGAGGATCTCGCGAAGCTGCCTAGCGCTGAGCACGGTTTACAGGAAGTTGAGCAGCAGCGAACTCGACTTCACCAGCGTCTGAAATCTTGGTCGCCGAAGCGGCGGCGTCTCAACTTGAGCGGCATATCTGCGCTTGACGGCTCCCTTATTGGCTCTCTAGAAGAAAGTGCTCAAGCGCTGGCGACACATTGGGGCGAGGTTCATTCTCAGGGACCTGGGCTTCACCCGAAATTTCTGGAAATCCTGTGCGAGCTTTCTGAAGATATTCCTCGGGCTGCTCCTGGTATTGAGTGGGAAATCGATTTCGGGACCTTCCAAGGGATCGTCGTTAGTCGCCGCGAATCAGCTTGCGGTCCTGACGGAATTCCATATTCGTGTTGGAGACACGCAGGAGAGCGCGCTCACCGAGTGATATTTGAAGCATACCAAGCATTATGTGCAGGAGCCAGCTTGCCTTCGGGGTTTAATCACGGGCAAACGGTGTTTCTTCCCAAAGATGTTCTTCCAAACGATCATGAGTCTATAGTCCGTCCATCTAGCCAAGTTCGGCCGATCACACTTAGCAACACCGACAACAAGCTCTTGGCTAGTGCGATCTGTGTTCCCATGGGACAGCAGGCAGTATTTTCAACCGACCCGATGCAAAAAGGCTTCGTCAAAGGCAGATACCTGATCGACAATATCCTCGATATTGAAGGCAAGTTTCTAGAATACGCATGTTATAACGACTGCCCTTTCGCCGGCCTGTTCCTGCTGGACCTGAAAGCGGCGTTTCCGTCGCTGTCCCACAGGTGGATTCTGCACGTGCTGCAACGCATGGGCATCCCCGATTTTATCCTTCACGCGGTTGGCCAGCTGTATTCCGACCTCTACTCCTTCATCATTTTTGCTGGAAAAAGGTTCCCTGGGTACCGTATCACCCGCGGCATAAAACAGGGGCGCCCTCTTTCGGGCGCCCTCTTCGCCCTGGCCTTCGACCCCGTGTTACGGAAGCTGGAAAGGATTTTAACACGTTTACCGACTCCTACCTCCCCGTTCGCTTTCGCTGACGACGTTGGCGCTGCGATGGCTGACTTGAGGCAGTCCTTGCCCGCGATGATGAAGCACTTTCTCAGGAGCTCGATCGTGACAGGTCTGCTCCCGAATTTGAAGAAGTGCGCGATTGTCCTTGCCGTTGAGTTCGACAGAACCGAGCTAAATAAAGAGTTCAAAAAGTGGGGGATCAACATTAAGTCCTTCCAGGTCGGCACCCACGGGAAATATCTTGGGGTAATGATCGGCCCGACTGGGCCTGCGGCTTCGTGGCATCTTGTTCTGGTCAAATTTCTTTCCAGGATCGGGCATATTAAGACGCTGAAGCTCGGTTTAGTTCAGAACATCTACGCCTACAACTCGCTAGCTTTCTCGATCTTGACGTACCTGATGCAGGTACTACCGGTTAGGCCCGAGGTGATCCGAGCCGAAACGAACGCTCTTCAAAGGCTGACCATGGCTGTTGTTCGGCATAAGTCTTGGCTTGCGGAGTCTATGTGCGGCTCCCTGATTAAGAACTGGAACGAGCTCACGACGATTTGCCCGACGATCAACGAATATACGCACGACGTCCAGCGAAAAGTCACCATTGCCGTTGCCAAAAATCAGGGGCGTCCTTCGATGCCAGTCCTGCTCTTGCCAAGGATTCGGAAGTTCTGGAGTGAGGCCCCCGTAAGCCACGCCGATTTTATTTTTCGAGCCATTTTCCTCGCCGCTACCAAACAAGCCCCCTTCGTTGCCTCCTCTCTCCTCAAATCTGTTTGTAACGCGTGGCCCACGTCGGCCAGATTTCGGTCAGGGAACCGTTGTTGCGTCATGGGCTGCGGTGCCGCAGACTCCGACCACATAACGCATTACTTTCAATGTCCTGTGCTGCTGCCACTGCTTCCTAGTATCATCCCGTCGCTGCCGCCTGATTTTCTCGAGTGGAATGCTCTCGATCGATTGCTGTTGAGACCTCATATGCCGTCCAGCCGAGCCTTGCATGGTACCATTCTAATGCATGATCTTTTACTCACAACTTATAACGCCATCCGTTCACAGTCGTCTCAGGCAGGTCCTGTCAGGGTGGAGGCCTTGATGCGGGCGAGGGCCCGTGCAGTAGCCAAGCGCAAGAGGGCCATTCGCGAGCTGCTGAACCAAGGCACCTAGCCCCCTATGGAGCCTGACATCACCATCATCGTTCACAATCGTCATCATCATCATCAGCATCATCATCGTCATCACCACCATCATCATCTTCTTCATTTACCACCATCAGCAGCAGCACCATCAGTAGCAGCATCAGCACCAGCAACAGCGTCAGCACCATCATGTCTGTCAGCGAATGGCCCCGCGATTGCCCCACGGCCGTTTCGCAGGGCGCACGGTCGCTCTGCCCACGGCCGCAGGAGCGGCTCCGGGTGCCTGTGGCTTGCGCAGGAGGAGGCGGCCTGGCTGCACCGGGCCCCCCCCGGTCCTGCAGCGCGACTGGCCCGTTGCTCCTTCCCCGGTCGCCTGTCCCGTCTGTCCAGTCGTCTGTCTTTCCATTGTCTGGCGTTCTTGGGGTGTTCTTCCACTCGGGGAGAGGAGAGGGAAGAGAAGGACGGAGAAGTGAGGAGGAGCGAGGAGTGGTGTTGTAAGGAGGGAGAGGAGGGGGACGGGAATGGAGGTGGATGACGATGCGGAGGAAGAAGAGGAGCAGGAACTGGAGGAGGGCTTCGTTGCGTTACAGGCTTGGATAGGGGGCACTTTTGGTGGGCGGGGTGGGTGGGGCCGGAGAGAGGAGGAAACAAGCGAGGTGAGTTTGCGCCTCATCTGACATCCTATCCCTCCATCCCATCCCTTCCCATAGCGCTGACTTTTCTATATCCGCGGACGCCTGTCATAGCCGACCTGCGACTCACACAGATTATCCCGGCAAAGCAACCTAACAGCGATGTGTAGGAGCATATCTGGAAGCATTCCCCTTAAGATTCAGATGAGAATCCAGTTGTAGAATTCTGCTGTTCTCGCAGTCGTAGTCGCATTCGCGATGACAGTCGCAGTGGCAACGGCAGTCGCAGTCACAGCCTCAGCCTCAGCCTGCCTCAGCCTCAGCCTCAGCCTGCCTCAGCCTCAGCCTGCCTCAGCCTCAGCCTCAGCCTGCTTCAGCCTCAGCCTCAGTCTGCCTTCAGCCTCGGCCTCAGCCTCAGCCTGCCTCAGCCTCAGCCTGCATCAGCCTCAGCCTCAGCCTCAGCCTGCCTCAGCATCAGCCTGCCTCAGCCTCAGCCTCAGCCTGCCTCAGCCTCAGCCTCAGTCTGCTTCAGCCTCAGCCTCAGTCTGCCTTCAGCCTCGGCCTCAGCCTCAGCCTGCCTCAGCCTCAGCCTGCCTCGGCCGCAGCATCAGCCTGCCTCAGCATTCAAAATGTGGCCCAGGAATGGATTTCTGGGAACTAGAAGAACACGAAGTGGCCTACAGTTGGCTCCGGGCATTCAAAATCATGCCCAGGAATGGAGTTCTGGGAACTTGAAGAGCACGAAGTGGCCTACAGTTGGCTCCGGGCATTCAAAGTGTGGCCCAGGAATGAAGTTCTGGGAACTCGAAGGGCACGAAGTGGCCTACAGTTGGCTCCGGGCATCCAAAATGTACGCCGGGATTTTGGCAACTCGAAGACCACGAAGTGGCCTACAGTTGGCTCCGGGCATCCAAAATGTACGCCGGGAATGGGAGTTCTGGGAACTCGAAGACCACGAAGTGGCCTACAGTTGGCTCCGGGCATCCAAAATGTACGCCGGGAATGGAGTTCTGGGAAGTCGAAGAGCACGAAGTGGCCTACAGTTGGCTCCGGGCATCCAAAATGTACGCCAGGAATGGAGTTCTAGCAGCGCCAAGAGCGATTTTGCGAGGATGTCCCAGGCGATTTGGGCTTCGACGGCAGCCGCGCCGGGTCCCGCCCCGGGTCCCGCCCCGACCCCCCTGAGGAGTCATGATGCTCTCTTTTGACCCCACTAGAAACCTATCAGTCTTCGCTGTTAGGTAAAAAACCGTTTCGTGTTATGCACAAGAGGGGGAGGAGGAGGTGGTGGGTGAGCAGGAGGATAAGCGGGATGAAAGAGATGAGGACGAGCAGCAGTAGCAGGACGTAAAGGGGAATGATCGCGAGGGAAAGGAGGACCAGGGGAAGGCGGAGGAGAAGAAATGAGGGGGGGCAACGACGATGAAAGATTCGGATTCAGAAAAGTGGCCAGCGCTGGGGCGAGACGAACAGCAGCAGCAGCAGCAGCAGCAGGAACTAGAGTGGAAGGAGCGGGAAGAACGGGATGACCAGAGGAAGGCGGGGGAAGGGAAATGACGGGGGGGACCATTATGAAGCAAGACTCGTATACACAAAAGTGGCCCGCGCGGGGGAGAGAGCGCCGCTCTGAACGACAGGAGTCGATCCGAAAATGAGGCCCACGTTGCAGCGAGAGTATATGTTTGAAGCACCGTAAACAATTGGATTGATAACAAACACACCATAAGACGAATCGATGTTTGAGTTCATGTGGCTTCAGGACGGTGCGGGGAGGAGGATGCGGAGGAGGAGGAGGAAGAGTAGGAGGACAAGTAGGAGGAAGGATGAGCATGACAATGACTAGCAGGAGGACGAGGAGCAGGAGATCGTGAAAATGAGGCAGAGGAGGTTAAGGATAATTATGACCATGTGCGAATGATGCGTTCGTGGGCTGCAACTTGAATTGTGAGGAACTTATTGAAACCGGCCGAGCTCCTCCCCTTCCTACTCCTCCTCCTCACCATCATCATCCTCCACTTTGTGCGATCACGTTGATGGGTGACTTTTGCACTTGGCGTTCGTCCTCGATTTCAGTGTCTCCTCATGTCTCCTCTTCCTCTTGCTTCCCCGCTCCTCCAGCTGCTCCTGCTCTTCCTGTCTCTTCTCCAGAGTCCTGCCTGTCCTTCGCCACCTAATCGTACCACCCAGACAGCAGCCTCTGAGTATTGTCTTTACCCGCCTCCTGCCATCAAGGAAGCTGCCAAGTCGGCCATCGGAGATTGGCAGTCCAGACTGGCGGAGCTCGGCTTTATGAAGGCCAGGCTGCGACCTTACACGGTAACCCTTACTTACGGGCTGGACGAGGAGCGGGAGAGCCCAGCCAATCTGATATTCTTCCCTCCTACGCCCCCTCACTCTTCACCTTCCTTCTGCCTCTGCTCCTTCTATGTCAGCTCCTGCTGCGGCTGTTCGTCCTCGTCCTCCTCCTTCCTCATCCTCCTCCTTTCCTCCTGCCCCACGAGCTCACAAACAGACGGCTTCCATTGGACAGTAGATTGCGGCCCTTCAACGGTACAATGACGCCGTCAGTGATGTATGAGTGGTGCTCATCGTGAACCCAAGCTCGACGAGGACCCAGAACCATGGGCAGACTTTATACAGAGACCGACACGCGCAGCAGCATGCCACGCCTCAAGAGCACAGGTGGCAAAGTGGACAGCACTGTTCATCAGAAGGATTTAGAGGTGGGCATCGCGCTTAGCAAAACAGGATCCCGACAGGTGGAGGCTTGTAGTGACCAAGTCGGAATCAAAAGACCGCGACCCACGCCCAGCACACCGAAGACACGGAGGACAGCGGAAGAAATGGGTCGACGGAATTTGCACTTCCTTACGTTCTTAGAGTTTCGTGGACGACATCGACGATACATACGGTAAGAAGCAGTGGTTATCAGTAGCATCAAATTTGCCAGTATGGAGAAAATTAGAAGACAGTTAGAAAGTCAGAGGGTACGCTGACAAGACCAGCAAAAAGCCCTACCTTTCCACCTCGCACTCTCGACCTCCACCTGTCGATCTTCAGCCTCACCTGACCGACCTCCAGCTTCCATGTCCCCGCCCCCCGCAAGCACCACCAGCTGTCGAACTCCAACCTTCTACCTCCAAACTCCGACCTCCGCCCATCGACCCCCAGAGTCGCCTGGCCGACCCCCAGCTTCAAACTTCTGCCTCCCTGCGTACACCACCAGCTGTCGACTTCCAACCTCCGCCTCCAGCTTTGGATCTCTGCCTCATTACCGCCAGCCTCACCTGACCGACCTCCAGCTTCCAGCTTGCGATCTCCGGCGCACACCACCAGCTGTCGACCTCCGATAGCCCACCTCCAGTTTTCGACCTCCACCTATCGACTTCCAGTTTCATTTGACCGACCTTCAGCTCCCGACTCCCAGCGTGCAACAGCAGCGGAAGACTTCAAACTTTCATTTCCAGCTTTCGACCTCCACCTATCGACCTCCAACCCCACCCGACCGAAATCCAACATCCAGCTTGCGACCCCCAGCAAGGACCTCCAACGTTCTTCATCCAACTTCCGACTTCCACCGATCGACCCTCAAGTTCTTTCGGCCGACCTCCAGCCCAAACTCCCGGCTCCCAGCGTGCACCACCAGCTGTCGACATCCACTCGTCGACCTCCAGACTCACCTGACGGACCTTCAGCTTCCAGCTCCCGACTGCCAGCGCGCACCACTAGTCGTGGACCTCCAACATCCCACCTCCAGCGTTCGACCTCCAAGTCCATGCTCCCGACCCCCGGTGTGCCCACCAGCTGTCTTCTGCTAGTCTTCTACATCCAGCTTTCGACATGTCCGACAACCTCCCTTGACCGACCTCCAGCGTGCACCACCAGCTGTCGACTTTCAGTCTTCCACCTCCAGCTTTCGACCTCCACCTCATTGTCGCCAACCTCACCCGACCGACCTCCAGCTTCCAGCGTCCAACCTGCAGCCCGCAGCACCAGATGTCGACCTCCAACATTTCCACCTCCAGCTTTCGACATTCACATCTCGACTTCCAGTTTCAATTTCACCTGACCGACCTCCAGCTTCCAGCCTCCGACTGCCAGCACCTACCAGCTGTCGGCGCCCACTCCCCCACCTCAGCGACTCCTGAGGGCTCCCGCTCCACCGCGCTGCCCTCCTAGGGCTGTTCCCGCCAGACCGACATCGCGCGCTCGCTCGCTCCTTTTCCTCTTGCTCATCGTCCTGCTCATCCGCCACCAACTCCAATGTGAGCAGCTCCCCACTTTCCGATTGCGGATAACACGATGAGGTTTGCTTTCTGGATTTCCAGATCGGCTATGGCACGCGTCGGCGGACGGAGAGGCAATCAGCGCAATTGGAAGGCATGGGTGGGAAGTGTACGGTGGGGGCGTTCGTTAAGGAATGTGCCCAGGAGACATCAGACCCTTGAGAATTCCGTATCTGACGCGGGCGGCGGTGACCATCCATGGCAAGGGCTCATTTGGTGCCCCACTCGTTTTCCTCATCCACTGGTTCCTTACCCAGTGCCCCCACTGCAGGATGTCGGATATGGCGCGAGCGCGCCCAGCTTGGCCTCTCCGCCTCTCCTCCCCCTTCTCTCCTCCCTCTTTCTCCTGCCTCCCCTGTCTTCCTGCCCCTTCCCGTCCCCCCGTGTCCTGTCCCGGAGGAGGAGCCCCTGCTCCAGACGAGGAGGAGAAGGAGGAGGAGGAGGAAGGAGTGCGAGGCGGAGGATCTGGAGGAGGAGGAGAGGGGGAAGAGGAGGATGAAAACCCTTGGGAAGCATTGTACTCCTCTGTCTCCCTCTCCTCCTGCATCTCCTCCTCATACCTGCTGCACCTCCTCCTCCTCTTCCTGCCCCTGGATGTTCTCGTGTTCATGCTGCTGATATTCCCCTCCGATCATCGTGCTGCTCCTCCTCGCTCCCCCCACCCCCAAAATTGGGCGTGTCGAAACAACATCAGGACGGAGTTTTGCTTCATCGTGTTCGGCTTCTCGGGACCCTGACACCGGGCCTCGGGACCTTCAAATACGACAAGTCGGGATAACAAATTGGTCTTGGGGAAGTGATCGAGAGGTTGAGGGCCCGTGTCTCGAACAAATCGAAACGCCAGATGTTTTGGACCTGCTCCTCCCACGCTCACTCCGCCTGGCTGCTGCTGCTCCTCCTGTTGGAATGTGCGAGGCGTGGGTGGGTGGGGAGCACCCCAGATTGTTGAGTGCAGCGAGACCCGCCAGAGGACGCAGAGAAGGCCGTGATCGACTGCATCAACAAGACGAAGGTCCCGGTCACTCCGATATTCCAGGAGGACGACGACACCGAGAATGTCGTTGAGTCCCTCCAGACGGCGATAGACAAGGCCCGGCGACCAGAAGCGCCGCTTGCTTACCCCATTGCTACGGACGAGCATTCGCATCTGACCTGTTGATTCATGGTTTGCCGACGGCGAGTGCCAGTTTTGTGGGGGGGGGGCACAGTATTCAGGCGCACGAGTGAGCAAAAAAACGCTGGCCAGCAGGTGCCCCTACAAAAGTTCCTGATTTTTTCCGAACTCCCTGGACACCCGTTGGAGTTTTTGGGGCGTTTCACTGAACAATGTGCCCGTGTGTGAGGTCTCTTGGCGTGTCTACAGTTTGGGGAGAGAAGGTAGACCATCGAGGGGGATGCTTCGCGTTGCTCCAAGGCCGTGGCCAACAGCAACAAGATGAGAAGAACTGCGAGCCTCCTAAGCCGCCAGGATTCAAGAGCAGCGGGGACAGAGAAAAAGGGTTGGTGCTGCAGCCAATGAGGTCCCGTCCCTGAATTGTGATAGCATCGAATCTAAAGGGTTCGGCGACCAGTAAAGGAGGCTTGTGGCATCTTATGTCTGATGGTTGGCCACCGATCTTAGGCCGTAGGTGCTCTTGGAGTTGAGTCACGAGGTTGGCACGGCCGCCTGTCAGAGTACTCGAATCATGGTTGGGTGGGAGGCGAACCGAGTTTAGGAGTAAAATCCCAGAGGTACGTGTTACACGTCGGTGGGCGACGCGACCTGGGGACTGCCCGGTGTTGGGAGGGGATCCGGTCGGGGGCGGGGGTCGACGTGCGACTTGCACAGGGCGTCTGGTTAGCTCCCGCGGGGAGGGGGATGAGGGCATCGGCAACTTTTTTCGTGTGCCGCAGAGGACGTAGGCACACAGCAGTTGCACCAGCATGCGCTTTGCACTGTTCGCCCAGACTTCCTGGGGTCGGCGCTGCCCTCCCACCACCCCGCACACCCTTGGCGGCGCCTCCGGCTGCCGCCCTCGGCACGCTCCGCGCGCCGGGGAACGGGTGTGGGGAGGGGGCCGGGGCTCAAGAGACGGGGGTCGATGCAAACGGGGGGCAGCCAGAGCTCCGGATCTTGCAGGATCTTGCAGAGCCAGGGGCGCATTGACCCAGGCTTGGGTGCAGGATCCTGCAGGATTCTGCAAAGCCTGGCTGACCCGGGTATGGATTGACCCAGGTCAGTATATCCCCGAGGGAGGGGGAGGGGTCCAGCGCCGACCCAAGACATCTGCCCCGACTTCTCAGTGCCGAACGGTGCTGCTCTTCCTGTGCTTCTGTGCCGTAGTGGTGGCGTTTGGCCACAGGTGCCTTAGAGACAATCTCAGTCTTTTCGTCACTTGCCTAAGAGGCTTGTCGACTCCCCGCCCGTTCGGTGATGCTGGGTGCGAGCCTCGGTCCATCATCTCATGCGGACTGCTGCGCCAACGAGCCTCCAGCCCTCTGCTCTGACCAGGAACTGTCAAGAAGGGCAGCGTGCTCCTCATTGTGGGGATCAAAGGGAGATGCCTATCCCTCCCCTCTACCTCTTCCCGTCCTCCATTCGCTCTGATGGTAATGGGGCTGGGGTGATTACTGGCATCTCTTTCATGGCTTCCAGCAACTCTGGTTTCCCGAGATTGTGGTCCGCCCTTGGGGACTGCGAACCCTCGAAGAGCGCACAAGGAGTCAACCTAGTGGGTTCTAGGATGGCATCAAGATAGATGGATCTAGCTCTGGATGGAGAACGGGGCAGAAGAGCACCCCTAGATCAGAAGTTGTACCGAAGTCGAGACCATGCCCAAATCCTTTGAGAGCCGGAATCGACCTCGAACTCTGCCACCTTCGGAGCTCGGCCGCGCGCTCGGCCCACGCAGGGAGGCGGGCCCAGCCTTGGGATCCGCAGAACGGGCGTGGCCTGCGCCCCAGCCGCTCTAGAGCAGCCTCCGAGCACCTCCGCTCACATCCCGAGCGATGTCCTCCAGGAGGTCGGGGCGCACGTCTCGAGGGTGTCCAGGGGGGTGGGATGACTGCGAGGGGGGGAGACGTCATGGCCAGGATCCAGGACGTCGCCCCGGATTTCATGGCCACCTGCTTCTTTGAGTGCGTCCCATGGTCTCCTCTCGTCCACGCACATACCTCGTGCCATGATTTGCGGCCCCCCCTCTTGGACGCCCCCCCTCCAGGATGTCCCCGAACGCAGCGAGGCTCAGCGCTGACGTGTGTCAGCCAAATCCCCCCGGGAGGGCCGCCTGCGATCCGATTCGGTGCGATTCGATTCGCTGGCTGGGCCCGCGACTCCGCTTCGATTCAATTTGGCTCAATTCACCAGCATCGGCCAAGGCAGGCCGGAGCCGGGCGCGGCGATCCGATTTCGATTCGATTCGGGGTGATTCGTCGGCGATCCGATCCGTTCCCGATACGGTCCGATTTCGCGATTCGATCTGGCTCAAGCCTGCCTGGCTGACCAGGGGTCGGAACCCCTGCGGGGCTGACCCTTTTTCACGTCCCTCCGCCGACCTGGGTCTGAGAGTTGTGCTGTGCGGTTGGCCGTGGCTCGTTGTGCGGCTTGACAGGCCCTTGGCCAGCGCTGACCCGGGTCAGCGCGTCCCTGGGGTGGAAGAGGAGACAACGACGAGCGGTCCCGTGCGGGTTCGTGTGCAGGCATTCGGAACGATTCTGCACGCCGGCGTCGATTCACGCGGGGCCGAAGGCGCCGGTTACCGCCAGCGCCAAGCCAAAGCTGCGGCGCCCTCAAGAAGCAGTATGGCCAAGCGTCTGTAGGCCTGCCTTTGGCCCTGGGGCTGAAAAGTCATCCAAGAAGTCCAACGCCCTTGGCGAAAACTCCATGCGTAGGATTGCGTCGAGAGCTTCAGACCTGCGGGCGTTTTCTTCAAACACCAGACGTCGGTCTGGGGCGCTCTGTCGGTCTGGGGCGTTCGAGGTGGTTTTCGCGGTATGGGAAGTCTCCACTGTTTCTTGGGGCTTGGCATCGCTTGGGCGTGTGCATCTTTCGGCGAGGACCACCGAGGAGCATCTTGGATCACCATGCGAACCATTAAACGCACGAAACCGACAACTGCACGGGGAATGGACGTCCGAGCGACGGCCAGTTGTGAGCGGGCTAGGGTGGCTCCACTGCCTTGGCCTGCAGCGTGTCGCAGTCTTGTTTCTGTGCTTGGTGTGCGTTCGCAGGGTGATTCCAGCCAATCAGGCGCGCGATGGTAAGTGGCTCCCGATTGCGTGTCGCCGCTTGCCTGTGTGGCCGCAATCCCATGACAACATTGCGCCCTCACTCGCAATGACAAAAGCTTCAAGCTTTTCACTGTTCGTAAGCTCCGGTGCCAAACTTGGCGGCGACAAGGGTACCAGTTGCGCTCGGGTGGCGGTGCACCACCTGTTGTTGGTCCGCCTTTTTGCTTCATTTTCGTTTGGGTGGTGCCGCGCAACCATTATTGTCAAGCTCATGCGTTTGTCCCTCCTTTCTAAGAGTAACCCACTTTGCCCCCACATGGATAGCTTGCCTTTGGCCGCATCACTGCGTAGCTTTAGCTAGCCCGCTCCGCAGATGCATTCGGCGCGCTGAGGGCGACGAAAGGTGGCCGCGCAGAATGTGTTCAGTAAGTGCGGACTGCATGAGCGATGTTTGTCAGGTCATTCCGTCGTTCTTTGTCGGCGTGCGTGTTCATTCTCTGCAGGTATACAGGCCACGTTGAAGAATGTGACGCTACATTTTTCAAGATAACAGAGAATACGAACTCAGGGCGGGTTCTGACGGCACGTTTGCGATTTCATATGAAGAGTGTCTGTATTGTTTGTCTGTGTTGTTTCCGTGGGTGCGCGCTGAAGAAGTATTGCAGTGCTGAGGCGCAGCCCTCAGACCCAGAAGGCATGCACGATGATGATGAGGAGCCAGTGGGCGAGCTTTGGAGCATGTCTTCACGTTTCCAGCCGGTGGCGCAGTGTTTGCCCTCCCAGAAGTTCCTCCCATGAGGCCTGAACATGCGTATTAAACAACATGCATTGCCCGCACACCATCAATTACGCCACATATATTCTCCTTTCTCTACCCCCCCTCCCCGGAGTTATCGCTACCCCTTTCGGGTATGTAAATCACATATGATTATGACCACATGTCCATCCTAAATATGAAATCACAATGTCCCAGGCCAACCGGTATCCCCCCCTGAGGTTCCCTTGTAAAAAACGATACGCGGGGACAATTTTTGTTCTAACATAAGACTTGTTCACGAATCCCTTGCAAACAATGGGACGAAGTGCACACGCGCGCGTCGTCGCGCGCGCATGCCGAAATCCTTTAAAAACTTTCGGTGCCGGAAGGATTTCGCAATCGAGTTTCCCAAAAAACATACTAAAACACAAGATATCGCAACACTGATTTGCTAAAAAAGCTTCCGCGCGAGCTCTTGCGAAATCTTAAGAAAACCACAGGTTTTTCAAGATTTTCACAAAATGCACTCAAACGGGCTTCGCGCGCGCATGTCGAAGTCTGTCGAACGCCCTTGCGCGTGTGCCGTCGCGAGAATCCTCTGCAACAAATATGACGCAGTGCAGACGCGCGCGTCGCCGCGCGCGTATGCCGAAAACCTTCAAAACCCGTCGGTGTCGGAAGGATTTCAAAATCGTGTGTCCAAAAAACATAAAAAAAACACAAGGTTTCGCAACACGGATTTTCAACAAAAGCGTGCGCGTGCGCTCTTGCGTCGTCGTCATCGTGGTCATCGTCGTCGTCGCCGTCCTCCCTCCTCCCGCGTCGTCGTCGTCGTCGTCGCCGACGTCGTCCTCTATCTTTCCTCGTGTTCGTCGTCGTCCTCTCTGGCGTCGTGGTCGTTTCCGTCGTCGTTGTCGCCGTGGTCGTCGTTTCCTCTTCCCTCGACGTCGTCGTCCGTCGTCGGCGTCTCGCCGTCGACCCTCCTATTTCGTCGCCGTCGTCGTCGTCGTCGTCGTCGTCTTCCCTCCTCCCTCGTCGTTGTCGTCGTCGGCGTCGCCGTCCTCCCTCCTTCGTCGTTCGCGTCGTCGCCGTCCTCCCTCCTTCCTCGTCGCTGTCGTCGTTGTCGCCGTCGTCCTCCCTCCTCCCTCGTCGTCGTCGTCGTCTTCGTTGGCGGCGTCGTTGTCGTCGTCGTCGACGTTGTCTTCGTCGTCGTCGGCGTCGGCGTCGTCGTTGTCGCAGTGGCCGTCGTCGTTGTCATCGTCTTCGTCGTCGGCGTCGTCGTCGTCGTCGTCTTCCCTCCTCCCTCGTCGTTGTCGTCGTCGGCGTCGCCGTCCTCCCTCCTTCGTCGTTCGCGTCGTCGCCGTCCCCCCACCTCCCTCGTCGCTGTCGTCGTTGTCGCCGTCGTCCTCCCTCCTCCCTCGTCGTCGTCGTCGTCTTCGTTGGCGGCGTCGTTGTCGTCGTCGTCTTCGTCGTCGTCGTCGGCGTCGGCGTCGTCGTTGTCGCAGTGGCCGTCGTCGTTGTCATCGTCTTCGTCGTCGGCGTCGTCGTCGTCGGTGTCGTCTTCTTCGTCGTCGTTGTCGTCGGTGTCGTCGTAGTCGGTGTCGGCGGCGCCGTCGTCGTCGTTGTCGTTGTCGTCGTCGGCGTCGGTGTCGTGGCCAAGTGCCATGTGGTACCTACCGTTACGGTCTTGTCGTAAAAGGTCTTGCGACCAAGTCGATGGTGGGAGGGTGGGACGTTTGCACGAGCAGTGGAGAGGACAGTTTCAAGACGGTCAAAGTGAACTGCACCGCATAGATTGCTCCACCTAGATTGTACCACAGATATTGCTCCACATAGATAGCACCACATATATTGCTAGAAACGCACTGCTCGGGGTCCACGCTGGCAAGCTCTTTCTTGATACGCTTTCAGTTCCCCTTCGCCGGGTTCGTCGGAAGCGGTGACGCGCGCGCGAGGACGCCCTCGGTTCGTGATTGGAGGGGAGCCATGGCGCGCCGATCCCGGCTTCCAGCTGTGGCAGCACTGACCTTTGTACCGTGTCGGTGCCAGGAAAAATGTCCATCGTACTGTGAATTGTTGGTCCACTACTTGGTGGCAAATGGCGGCCCAAACACGGTGTATATATTTTTGCAGCACTCGTCGCTTGGAGAATTGGCCCAGAAATGATACATTACACGTTGTCTTGCGGGTGTTTCTGCGACATGTCATGTGACAGGGCTTCGATCTGTTATTGTAAATGCGCGTGGTTCTCAGCATGGGGGTGCAGGTGGGAGTGGCGCGGGGCCCGTTGACTTGTTCGAGTTGGTTGGTTTGATTCCCGCCGCAGGTTCGTGTCATGTCGACGCAGCGGCAACCCCAGCGCGGGCGTTCAAGGTTGAGCACCGCCAGCGGCGCGGATCGCGCTAACATGGCACGGCCTGGCGAACCAGCGGCCGCCGATCGGTCAACGCTGAATGATCTATTCGGCGCCAGAAATCAACACTTGGGTCGTCACGGCACAAGCCTGCCGTAGCTTGTTCTTTCTGGATCGTATTTCTAGATTTGCACCCGTTGTTCCGCCACCCTAGCACGCTGCTCCCCCCCGCTCGTCGTGCCACTGCTGCTGCACATAAACATATATTTATTAGTGCTGCTATTGATCTTGCGCATGCTGCTGCTCCTCACCTGTCTCTCCGGATCCTCCCACATGCTCGGCCTCATCGCCCCCCCTCTCTCTCCTTCCATCTTCTTCTTCCTCCTCGCCCATGCCCGCTTCCTCCTTCTGATCCGTCTCCCTCTCCTTCTCTTCCGCCTCCTTCCCCTTCGCCTCACCCACCGCCGCCTCCATCTCCCCTCCCTTCCCGTGGCCCCCCATGCGGTCATCCTGACGGTCCTTTTCCTTCTCCCCCTCTTCCGCCTCCTTCCTCTCCGCGTTGGGGCCCCGTACATTGTACGTCTAATCCTTCCAGGTGAATCCTTCCTCTCCGCCTCCGCCTCCTCCGCCGCCCCCTTCCCCCCCTTGGCGCCCCAGGAGGTCTTTTTTTCCTGCCTGCAGAACCTGCAGGGCGGCCGCGAGGCCGCTCGGCTGGCCTCGGTCTCGACGGCATGGGCGGAGATCCTGAACCCAGGCGATGTGTTGTCTCCTTTTCCTCCTCCCCCTCCTCCTCCTTTTCCTCCCCCTCCTCCTCCTCCAGTCAATCCATTCCTTCCACACCACCAGCCTGCCGCCCGTCCTGCTCTTTAGCCTTGTCTGCACTGTCTGCTGTACTGTCTGCTTCTTTTCTGGACTTGAATGTTTACCTGCAGCTACACTTTGGCTCTCGGGAAACGGAAAAGGTGCGAGCCTGCGGCACGCGCGCGTGCGTCGGCCGGCGGGCCGGCTTCCTCCCTCCGCTGCTCCCCTATTGCATGGTTGACGGCATTATCTTTTCTAACCCATGTCATCGGCGGAGCCCGCTGATTATGAGACGTCAACAACACATCTTGCAGGGATTTTGATTATCCAGGCAAAAGACTGGTTATCAGCCGAAACGGCGGCACAGCCGTTAGGTTCGTAGAGCATGGGACCACAGGAAGGATCGCTCGGAAGAGAAGAAGACCGTTATCGCCCCGAGCATATTCATGATGCAGGCGCCTCTGCGAGGCGACTTAGTTCTCTCCGTCTCCCAAAAAAGCAAGCGTCGAAAACTGTGTTCGATTTAACATAAGGAGATTATCAAATTGGTTCGATGACAGTAGTAAGGGAACAAACCCCGGGTGGGAGGCATGGCGCAGCCAAAACTCCCACCATGGGGTCATTTGGGCATGTGCCGGCACACCCGAGTTCCCAACCGTCGATCGACTTAGACCATGAAATTGAGAAACTGCTGGAAAAAATGCCCCGAGAAACGTTAAAACAAGGTAACTGTAGCACAGGAGAAGCAGCGCAATTTGAGATTCACGGTCAGGGTGAGGAACAGAGCGATCTTCCATCTGAAAAAGACAGTTCGCATTCGATTGAGAGGAACGAGGAGTACGCCCAGTTGCGCGCCTCGCCTGGTCCATCTCGCCATC